CTACAATTCCATTTGGAGCAAGGAAAGTCATCTGGAAGCTAATGACAATTTAATACTTTTCCCATCTCCCTTACTATACGTTTCCCAAATATTTGTTAAAGCAACAAAGGCATTCACCTTAGACAGACCTACACTTTCTTAAACACTTTCTTTTTCCTTCTTTAGCCAATAAGGGTATCATAGGCCCAAGAAGAGAAAGTTGGTGTATGGTCTTACCAAGCAAAATTAGTCATTGCAAAAAATTCACTTCAAGCATTGAATATGTTTTCCCTTGTCTGTTCATATTTTACTGATTAGGATCAGACTTTAAATATTTTTTACTAACCATTGCATTTCCATTTAATTTAAAATTACAACTAAAGATTTTTAGGTGCTATTTTATTTGAAGCGGGAGAAAGGAAGTGACCAATGAAGTTGCTTTGAATACCACTTTATTTTCAAATCCTGAATTGCTTCTTCCAGGTCCTTTTTCATTGACTTCTGTCTGCCCTTTCTGTTTTGTATACCTGGGGTGGAAAGGGCTATTCTGTGGAAAGGGCTATTCTATACTCTCTGATTGTTATAAATTAGCCCTGCCTTTATTATGGGGTTTATGTCCACATATGGCCATTTTTAAAAGTATGTATGTCTGTATACTGCCTTTTAAAAGAAAGTGGCAGCTAAATTGAATCATTACCAAAGGATAAAATTGCTGTTAATGTGACACCTTTCCTGGTCAACATTAAAGATAAGATTTATTTGGCTTTGTAGGACTATTGATCTCCACTATTTAAAGTCCATATACATGTGTTTCAACAAGACTTGATTCTACTTTTTAACCCTTTTGGGTTCAAGTTTTCTCAGCTTCGTAGTAGATTTTAAACTACACTTGTTTCTTCAGGACTGTGTATGTCTGCACACTGAAAATCCCACTTGGCATAAATAAAATGGCTTGATGGTTTTTGCAGCTATAGCAGGACTTGTTTTCATGAGAAAATAAAGAGCATTTTCAGTTAATTCAGTCTCCTAACGTTCCCATAAAAGAGACAGACATTGACTGCATGTGACAGAAGGAGGTCCCTGGGCACTGAAAGGGTGTAGCTCGCTTCCTCATAAAAACAGCCCCTGAAGTTCAGCGACAAGCTGAAATGCCAAGCCTTGCACAGCCATAGTAATACCTCCTTGATTTTATTCTGAGTGCTGTAAGGACTCAGTGGCTGTGAAAAGAAAGGTATAAAGAATTTTAAAAGGAAGCATTAATATTTTTCTGGCCATGTCTGAAAAATCCCAGCTTTAGTGATTTTTAAAATGCCATTGAAATGTGGTGAAAGAGTGGAAGTGAAAAGTGTCTTCCTTCATTTGCCCAGTGTGATACTCTGTGTGTAAGTTGAAGGGGGGGAAAAAACCCAACAGAATGAATTACTGGAAAAGTAGAAAGAAAATCTGCAAAATCTCTGCACAAGCTGGACATAAAGGTGAAAGTATTAAAGCCGTTTGGGAACCAGATGCTAGCAAATTGAAGAGGATATCCAGAAACTTACAGCTACTTTTAAACCAAAATCAAACAAAGAAAAAATTACCTCACTTAAACTAAGCAGATGTAGCATTCAGAAAATACCTGTGAATCCTGCCATGGTGGCAGCAGAACATCAGGAAAAGAATACAGCAATGGAATAGTGTGACATGTCATTCTAATAAGCAGCCTTTTTAAAGTGTCCATATAGATCCAATGGAGTATGTGTATGTATCCAGATCCATATTTATAAGGATAAAGGTCATATATGGCTATAAATGGTGATATGTGGATTTCCATATGTACATACACACATATGTAAGTGTGTAACAGCCTGATAGATCCCATTGTTCCCAATTTCTCCTCTTAGGCCCTCCTGAGCAGGGTGCTCAGGTTGTACAGTTTCAGTCACAAGAGTCCGAGCAATTTGTTGAAGCAGAGGCTGTTTTTCAATACTCTGATGAAAAAGGAAAGGTCTCAATCTCAGCCGAAAAGCAAAATATTAAATATTTCAGTCCAGTGTGCCACTGCTGTAACTTGGGCTGCAGAAAAAAAAAAAAAAAAAGCTATTCTTTTGGAGAAGAACAGCTTTTTTAGAGCCAGAGATGCTCCTTACTTGAATAAACCCCGTGAATATATTTGAATAAAGCCCAACGAAACAAGATAATGTGTAACCCTTCAAAGACCTACGTCTTCTTTCAAAAACTTTTTTGTTGTTGTTGTTGGGGTTTGTGTGTGGTTTAGAGGTTATTCAGGTAGATTTACAAATCTAACATGCTCCTTTCTGCTTCACCAGACTGATATTTCTGCAGTGTTATTTTAAAGATAAGAGCTAAGGGCTGCGGGACCCATTTAGAAGTCTCCAGTCCCACAGGACTGAAACATCCCGCAAGTTCTTGCGGCGGAGTTCCTGGGCAGAGGGGGCAGGGAGAAAGGACGGAGATGGCTTGTAGGGTGCTTGGGGGCATTCGCCTGGTTGCCCCCTTGGTTCCCAGGGACGGTAGATTGGCAGCGATAGGAATGACAAATACTGGGTACCAAGAACTGGGTAACGTGACTGTTCATTTAATTTGCGGGACTCTGGAGGGGGTGAATTACAGCTCTTCCCTCAGCGTGCAGAGTGAATGAAGAAGCCCCCGCGTTACCGGGGCTCCCTCCCGCTGAAGGTCTCCGGGCAGTTTGGTTCGACGGACTCCCGGGGCCGCAGCCCCGACCCCAGCCTCCCCCGCCACCGCCGCCAGAGCCTCGGCTCGGCGGGAGATGCGGACTACGAGGCAGGGATGGAAGCCAGGCTGCTGTTCTCCCGAGCTGAGCTGAAAATAACCCCAAGTTTGAGAAGGATTCATCAATTCTTCGTTCGTTAGGGAGAGCTTCATCCCGGGCATATTTCGAACCAAAACGGAAGGGTCTTCCTTTCCCGGGACAGCCACAGGTTTTATGCCCTCCTCTCGGTGCAATCCGCAAGAAACCTAAGCAACATCGAAAGCTTTACTACCTTGCCCAGATGAACGCGAGACCACCCGAGTTTTGGGGGGAAAAACTCGCAATAGCCTTGAACTACGCGGCACCCGAAGGAATGTTTGAAATAATGTGACTCTTTCAGTGTGTAAGACCGCAAAATGAACTCCCTTAAAACCTACATAGTGGTTTTCTAAAATCTCCTTCCGTGCCTGCCCTGGCCGGGGAGAGGCAGAGCCCGAGGGTGCGGGCTGCCGGAGCCAGCCCCGCCGGGAGGAGCCGCACCGGGCTCTCCGGCCGCGGCAAGGGGCGCAGCGGCTCGGCCTCGGCAGCGCTCGGCAGGACGCTCCTCGCCTTGCTTCGCTTTCAAAGCAGGGCAGCTCGGCCGAGCTCTGCTCCGCTTCGCACCCCGCGGCTCCAGCGCCTGGTCCGCTTCGTGCCGGAGCGTCGGACTTTTCCGACGCATTTTTGTTGTTTTATTCGGTCGAACGAGATCCGCGCAAAAACTGAGGCAAACATTATTCCGGAGAGAACGTGTGGTTAGGGCTGGGGCTGGTATTTCATTGCCGGCTGTGTGGCCGCAGCCCGAGGTGGGCACAGCAGGGGCCGCTTCCCCGTCTCACCAGGGATGGGGGATGAGTCCTGCCCGTCCCCGGCGGTCACCACCGGGAGTGCCCCTCCACCCGCACCTGCCGGTGCCCGGCTTGCGCAGGACGCGCATCCCGGCGGGGCTCCGGCAGCGCCCGGCCCCGGCTCTCGGCGGCCCCGGTCAGCTCTTCCCCATTTATCTCGGCTGCCCGATGCGGCGCGGCCCGGCGGGAGCGCGGGGCTAGCGGGCCGAGGCGGCGCGGAGGGCGGCAGAGCTGGGCTGCTCCAGCCCGGCCGGATCCTTCTGTCAGCCAACGAAATCCTGGCCGCTCAGCGGGTCTGGTTCAAAATTCAGCCGTGAGGTGGAGGCAGGTGTTTGCAGCGCTCCCTGCGAGATGGCCGGTGGCGAGCAGAGGGCGAGGGGCTGCGGATTTGTAGCTGCAAATCATTCACGGCGGCTCTGCCCGCTCCACAAAATCACACGGGCATCTGCCCCTTCCCAAGGGCTGTTCCCTACCCTCCTGAGGCTAAAGGCTCGGGGATTTGCACTGAGAGAAAGCGCCAAACAGATCTGGCACCCGCCTCAATTAAAAATCTGCCTTCCCGGTGGGAGATGCTGAAGGGGAACGCGGCTTGTGAGAAACCGACTGCAGAGTTCCTGAAAACTGGAATTGCGAACCGAACCCGCCACTTCCCACAGATAAGGTGAAACGTGTTAACCCCATGATAAGGATGCTGCTCGGGGAGCGGAGCGGGGGGAAGGAGGCTCTTGGACGCAGCAGAGACACAAGCCGAATCGTCTGAGCGGCGAGGCGGCCGGCGGGGAGGTTGCGGGAGGCCGGCGTCCCCCGCCCCGTCTCAGCGGCCCGGTTGATCGCCGCCCTCCCCACCTGGCGGGTGCCGGTTTTCCCACCCAAACCTTTCCATTTCGTCCCCATCTCTCGTTCAGCGCGGCGGATTCTTCCTTACGCGCCCGAGCGGTAGGACGGTGCCACCTCAGCAAAAGGCCTTTTTTGTTTGTTTTTTTTTTTATTATTATTATTTTGGAAGAGGGGGAGCCGGGCCCTCCACTGCAGCCACCGTGATGCACCCCCACTGAGGGGTAATGCGGAGCTCCCCTCAGTCCGAGCGACGTGGGCGCAGGGAGCGGGCAAGAGCCCCTCGGGTAGCCGGCTGCGGGAAGGGGGAGGGGGCATGGAAGGGGACGGGGCGCGCACCAAAGTCACAGGTGACTTGTTCCAATTAGTAGCTGTCTAATTAAATTAGTGTCACGCGGCACAGCCAATGGGCCGGCGGGGGTGGAGGGCGACGCGAGGCAGCCCGGCGCAAGCCCCTCCCCGGCAGCCCGACGAGTGCGGTATAAATTGCCTCGGCCGAGCCGTGCCGGAGCGTAGCACGGCGCGGCCACAGGTCGGGGTCGGCACAGGATAGAGTGGGAGCTCGAACGCACCGCCCATCGAGGATGCAGCTGGGTGAGCCGCTGCTGACGGCGGCGGGGGCACTGCCGGGCGCCCCCTTCTACCCGCTGGAGGGCGGCGGACGCACCGGAGCCGCTGGAGCTGGAACAGGCGCTGCTGGAGGCTCCCGCGGGCCGCCCGGTTCGGGATCGCCACCTCGCCTCGACCTGGACAAGATGCCCAAGAAGTTTGGAGCGGCCCCCGCCATCCTGAGCGAGACGGAGGCCGTCGAGCCGCCCTTCGCCGCTCCCAAGCCGGACGGTCGCAAGGCCACCCCATGCGGGGACGAGGAGCTGCCCCCGGCCGCCGCCGCCCGCTACTCCATGGACAGCCTGAGCCCCGAGCGCTACTACCTGCAGTCCCCCGGGCCGCCCGCCGCCGACCTGGGGGGGCCCTGCTCCCTGTTCCCGTACCCGCCCGCGGCGCAGCACGGCGCCGTCTACCAGCCGCCCGGCGGGCCCCGCTACCCCTACGGCTCCGTGCTGTCCCCGGGCGGCTTCGCGGGCGCCGTGTGCCCGCCCGGCGGCCGGACGCAGTTCGGAGGCGGCGGCGGGTACCAGTACGGGCAGGCGACGGGCGGCGGATCTCTCTACGGCCCTTACCCGCCGGCGTCGGGCTCCTGCGGCGGGCTCGGGGCTCTGGGGGTGCCAGCCGCCGGCCCGGGGATGCGAGCGCAGGTCTTCCTCTGCAACCGGCCCCTCTGGCTCAAGTTCCACCGGCATCAGACGGAGATGATCATCACCAAGCAGGGCCGGTAAGTGGGCGCGGGGGGTGGTGGAAACTGAGGGAAGTGGTGTGGTGGTCGGGAATGGGGGGGGGGGGGGGGGGGGGCGGAGGTGGCACCCCCGGGCACACTTCGCGTCGGGCGGCTCTTGCCCGCTCCCCCGGGTGGGGGGGTGCATGCTCTGTCCGTCGGTGGTGCCCCGGGATGTGTTCCCCGAGAAACTGTTCCCCAGTTTCCCCACACACGGCGGCCCGGAGATAAGGGGGGGGTCGGCTGGAGCTCGCCGCTTCCTTAGTCTCTTTGGTGCTGGGACGGACGGGGCACTCCACGGCCGCCTACAGCATCCGCCGGAGCCCGCGCCCCCTCCCCCCGCCCGCCTCACCATGCCTTGTGGTTTTCCTCCTTTCCCCAGGAGAATGTTTCCCTTCCTGAGCTTCAACATCACCGGTCTCAACCCCACGGCCCACTACAACGTCTTCGTGGAGGTGGTGTTGGCGGACCCCAACCACTGGCGTTTCCAGGGGGGCAAGTGGGTGACCTGCGGCAAAGCCGACAACAACATGCAAGGTAGGTGCAGGATCCGGGGGTCTCCTCGCCCCCTTTCCCCGCGGGTCGGTTTCTCGGGAAGGGTTCCCAGTTTGCCCCCTCCCCCAGGGTCTTCCCCACACCCGGCATCCTGCTGAGGGTCGAGCTCCTCTCTTAAGATCGTCTTGCGGCTCTTTCTGCGCAGCGCTGTTGGTGTGTGGGGCTGTGTGGGGGTGGCCATCGGGGCCGAGGGGCTGCGCGGGCGGGGAACAAAGCCCCGCGGCAGGGCCGCCTCTCACTGCCTTGTCCTCCCCAGGCAACAAGGTCTACGTGCACCCCGAGTCGCCCAACACTGGGGCGCACTGGATGAGGCAGGAGATTTCCTTCGGAAAGCTGAAGCTAACGAACAATAAAGGTGCTAACAACAACAACGCACAGGTAAGGAGGGAGAGAGTGGCCTGGGGGGCTCTTGGTGGCTCAGCAGGGTTTTGGGGCTTTTACGACATTTCATGGAGGCGCTACATCACTGTGCTTGTGACTCGTTCCCTTCTTGAACTGGGTCATAGAGATGGTTTTCTTTGTTTTGCTGTATGAATAGTTGAAAATATTCGATTACAATGTGCGAATTACTTTTGTCTTAGTTGCTATATTGATCCCCTGGAGTTGGTCAAAAAGTGGGAGGATAGCTGATAGCTCTTAGTAAAGCAGGGCTGCCAGCTGTGACTCAGCTCCTGATAACAGTTAAAACTGCTCCGTTTCTAAACCAAAAGATTACAATTTACAGGGAAAAAATGTCATGCTGCAAAATAAGTCTTTTAATGTTAGATGCTGTTTGTCTAACGATGTTGTTTCTTTCACGGTTTCTTTTAGATGATAGTACTTCAGTCCCTACACAAGTACCAGCCCCGACTTCACATTGTGGAAGTGACCGAAGATGGTGTTGAAGATCTGAATGATTCCTCAAAGACTCAAACGTTTATTTTTCCTGAAACGCAGTTCATAGCAGTTACAGCATATCAAAACACTGATGTAAGTATCGATGTATAAAATTGCAATTAAGAACAAAATTGACTTGTGGGTTCAGCATCTCATGTTAATATATTCTGCTTTCACTTTTAGATTACACAGCTCAAAATTGACCATAATCCTTTTGCAAAAGGCTTCAGAGACAACTATGACTCGTAAGTATACCTCTATTTTCTTTTGCAGATGTGTCAGTCTAGGAGGCATGATTCTGGCCTGAAATGTCTGTGGAAGGGTTTTTCTTTAGACTTAAATTCAGTTATTCCGTGCCAGCACTGCTTCTACTGGTGATTTTGCTTATGTTAAAATGTCTGAATAGTGTATTGTCTAGATGATCTGTCTTTCTGCTGGCTTCTGAATTTTGGTAGGAAACTTGTGTTGGCAGAACCCAGCTGGCCTGCAGTTTTTACTGGCAGCAGTATGTTGGGATTCTCCACAGAACAGAGAGGGTCTTTAAATTGTCAGCAGAATTCTTGCCTAATAATTTTCTACCTTCACTTGTGCTATTGCTTGTAGCAGTAGCAGAAAATTTACAGTGGCCTAGGAAAAGCGCCTGCTAAATCAGATTATCACTATCCAATTAAATGTAGTTATGATTCTAATTAAGAAATACCTAGTTTATTTGTGTTTGTGTTTTTGTGTTGTGTTACTGTCATAGTGGAATTGTAAAGAAAAACACTCAGTGTTCCTCTTTTATGTTGTAGCATGTACACAGCTTCCGAAAATGACAGATTAACTCCATCTCCCACGGATTCTCCTAGATCCCACCAGATCGTCCCTGGTGCCCGATACAGCGTGCAGCCATTCTTCCAGGAACAGTTTGTCAACAACCTGCCCCCGGCCAGGTTTTACAACGGTGAGAGAACTGTCCCTCAGAGCAATGGCCTGCTGTCCCCACAGCAGAACGAGGAGGTGGCCAGCTCTCCCCAGCGCTGGTTCGTGACGCCCGTGCAGCAGCCCAGCGCCAACAAACTGGACATGAACTCCTACGAGACAGAGTATTCTCACAGCACCTTGCTCCCCTATGGCATCAAATCCCTCCCGCTGCAGACGTCCCACGCTCTGGGATACTACCCCGACCCGGCGTTCCCGTCCATGGCGGGCTGGGGGAACAGGGGCTCTTACCAGCGGAAAATGACGACAGGACTAACTTGGCCCTCCAGAACGAGTCCCCCGGGATTCACTGAAGACCAGCTTTCCAAGGACAAGGTGAAAGAAGAAATTGGCTCGTCATGGATAGAGACTCCACCCTCTATAAAGTCTCTAGATTCAAATGATTCTGGGGTCTACACAGGCGCTTGTAAGAGAAGGCGGCTTTCCCCTAGCACTTCCAGCAACGAAAATTCCCCGACAATGAAATGTGAGGACATTAATGCTGAGGACTATAGCAAAGACACTTCAAAAGGCATGGGCTACTACGCCTTCTATGCCAGTTCTTAGAGCATCTTTTTTATTCCAATTGGCTGTTTTGGTTTTTTGGTGGTTTTTATTTTTTTTTTCAGGGTGGCCTTGGGTTTTTTTTGCTTACAATTGCTAAAAAGACTCTTGCCTTCCACCTTGAGTTGTTGTGTGCAATTCTAAAGAAGGTGCCAAAGCTTTTTGACTGTTGCAGGTAACAAAGTAGGGAAAGAGCAAACCATGGGAGATTTCTTCCCCTTCTTTTAGAAGGAACCATATGCAGAAGCTGTAAGGAGTATACTCTAGTGTCTAAATATGTGGCATATTTATTGGAGACACTAAAGTATACAGTTTGGGTTGGCTCAGAAGCCTGATTAAATCTATGCACTCCTGAGCAAGGAAAGAGGGGGTGGGATCCCAAATTTAATTTCCTTCCCTGCTTAATAAAAGGGAACTGGGTTGCAGGGAAATGCACAAATGCTATGTTCTGCTTTAGACTGAGCTGTTTTTTCAACCCATCCACAACACAGTTGGCTGAGTTGGATATTGCTCAGCTACAGCTTTTTCTTTTGGCAGAAATGCCAAAATAACGCCTGCTTGCCAGGCAGGATTTTGACTTGAAGGTTTTGTTGCCAACGGGATTACAATGACAAATCTGACTTTTCTTAGCTTAGAACTTGCATTAAAAAACCCTGTCTCCATCCCAAAAGCCTAACCTTTATTAAGGTGGCCAAAAACCAAGTGTACATTTGGTGTTTTGTCTAGGTACACTGTAGAATATTGTGGAATAATGTATAAATAGTTGACCTATAGCTGTTCAGTTGGAAGGACATCCGGTGGTGTGTCGAAGTTCAAAAGGCATTTTTTTGATTAATCAAACTTAGCTTATGACACATTGCAAAAGGAGATTTCTATTTATGTGTATGTCAAGTGACTTTTACAGCTGCCCTGTATGAAACTGGAAGTGATGTAACTTTACCCATTCTTGCCTATACTTTCAGCCATTTTAAACTGCCCCAGAGTAACTGGCCCACAAAGTTTTTCCTCTTCCAATAAAGTTGTTTCTGTTTTTTCTATGTAGATAGTAATAATTTTTAATAAATGTGGTGGTGCCAGGCATAACACGATATGGCTCTGCCTCATCTTTGCCTCTGCTGGGTGTCCTGAAAGGGGAGGAGGGAGTGCGATCCTAGGGAATGGGCCTTTATATCTAACCATCCCTTGCGGTGCTGATGCTTTATCTGTTGTACTCGCTGTGTGGGGTTTTTTTTCCCTTTAATTTTTTTAAGTCTCTTTGCTTTGCATTTTCGTGTGCATCTTCTGCACGAGCTGGGAGTCCCCGGGTCGCTCCAAAATACGACGGCCTCCTGTCCCCTTCCACCCCCTCTTCGGACAGCGAATTGTGAACGCAGCCTGCCTCCTCCCGCCACCCCCTTCTCACCCGCTCTGCTTCCCGGAACAAGGCACGAAATTCCCCTGCCCGCTTATCTGAGGGGGAAGCTGCTGGCAGAGCGATTGAATCCCAGCTCCCGCGGCAGCGGGACCTTTCCTGAGGATATGCAGGCAGTAATGGGATTAAGCTGTTAACGATTCCCGGCTGCAAACCAAATAAACGCGGGGCTCAGGCCGGGGCTGTCCCCGGTGGAGGTGACGCTGTCGGGGGGTACCGGCAGGGGCTCCCCCTCCTCCGGAGCGGGACACGGCGGGTGTCCGCGGAGATTTCGATCAGCGCCTCGCCGCGCCCGCTCTGCGCGGTGCCAAGCTGTCCTGTCAGCTCTTCCTCTGCCCCATCTGGAACGGGATGGGAGCAATTTTTAAGAGACTAAAGACCGAGCATGTTTTTCCTTTTTAAATTTTTTTTTTATTTTCCCACTGGGGCCATCCCCTCTCGGAAAAGCCCCGGGAAGGGCTGTCCCTGTCCCCGGCGGGGGTGCGGCGGCATGCGGCCGTCCCCACCCGCCCTGCAAACGCCGATTACACAGCACGATTCCGCCGCGCTCTCTTAATAAAAGCTGTATGTTTTTGCACCGCGCGGTGAAAAAATAACTTAATACTTGTTAAAAGTCCTCACACTGTTTAATAGAAACGTAAGTGCCTGGCTGGCCCCAATTAACACCTTGTGATTATAATGCATTCCTAAAATGGGGTGTCAGACGCCAAATTGTGAATAAAGGTATCTAATTAATCTTCATAGGATGACACCGATAAACAACGCCAGGTTTAAATAAAGATCAAGGAACTGAATGCTTTTTATTTGTTTACATTAACAAAAGATAAAGTTAACTACCCTTGCACTTTGCTTCGTAATGTGATTTACTGCCACAAACAACGGGCTGCGGGCGGAGAGCTCTGCCTCGCCTCGCCCCGCCGGGCTTTTTCTGGCGGTTTTGGCGGGAGGGGACACCCCGAGGGTGAGCGCCCCTTCCTCCGCAGCCCCACGGCCCCGGGCGTGTGCCGGGAAACGCGGCACTCCCTCGGCCTGGCAGCGAGCGGGGGAACGGCCCCGGCCCCGCCACTTCCGACGCTCTCGCATGAAAAAAAAACTGCGTGCGAGTTTGAGACGCGAGCTGGACGGGCACGGCGGGTCCAGAGCGAAATAAAGAAATAAATAATGGTTGTTTACATCGCTGTGCGGCGGGAGGTGGAGGGCGAGCCCTGCCCGATGGAGAGGGGAAGCTCCGTTCTAGGTCAGGGAGAACGCGAACCTCGGCGGTGCCGGCGGGGCAAACGCTCTGCCCGACTCGGGGCTCGGCTCTTCCCCCACCAGCCCCGAGAAGGGGCTGCGCACCCTGGGGCCATTTCCCCGAGTTAGCAATTCTCTGGGATATTCCCTCCCGGAACCGAGGGAGCGGGTCGGTGCTCTGGGTGCGCAGCCCTGATTTTTAAATAGCATAAGCGCCCCACGGGGCAACAGAGGCAGCGGAGACGGGTTCGTCCCATGGATTGGGGCCATTCCTCGGCGAAGACTCTGGTTTTTGGTGTTACTTTCGTTAAAGCAGACCTGGCACGTCGAGAACAGCCCTCTGGTAATTTTTTTCCAACGAAACTTCATCCCTCGCTGCTCGCCCCAAACCCTATGGCCGCGGCTTCGCACCCGGGGCGGAAAACGAAACGACCCCGCAGCTCTTTCTTCCGACGGCAGCGCCCCGACCCTCCCGGGAGAAGGGGCTCCCTCTCCTCAGGGCCGCCGCCTCCGCGCTCCGGGGAGGAGGGGACAGATATTTTTCGGTATGTTTTCTCTTCGAGCAATGGGATGGGGTTTTACTTTCGGTCTGAATTTCCGCTCCCACCTTCCTCAACGCCGCCGCCTCGTTAACACCTGCTCGCGTGTTCCCAGCTCCTCCTCCCTGAGGGGAGCGTGGCCTTCATGGAGGGGGGCTTTCCCCGGAAAGGTGAATTTTTTTTACAGCCCCCGCCCAGGGCTGCCTCTGAGGCGGTGGAACAGGGCCCCGATGGCTCCTGCGGTACCGTTGCCTTTCAGATATTCCCCTTCCCGACGGGAATATCGGCCAGCAGAGCCGGAGGTGTCCGCTGTGGTGTCCCGGCTCTGGGTCGAAAGTCGAGGCGGGAGGGAATGAGGTGAGGAGGAAGACGGGGGCTGCTGACACTTTCCTCATGCCCGTCCACCTCATGAAATTGTAACTTTTATTTATTATTATTATTATTATTATTATTATTATTATTATTATCATCATCATCATCATAATCATCATTATTATCATTATTGTCATTATTGTCATTATTGTCATTATTATCATCCTACATTATACATTCAAGCCCAATTCCCCAGCCCCCTGAGCTCTGTAGCCCACTCATCCTTTTCCCCAGATCTTCATAGCCGTGATCATAATGATGCGGGTATGGCTAATATAAATATTAATCTAATCCTTATTGGAAGGATTTTAGTGCTTTCTGGGTATCACAGATATGTAATCCAGGGGAGAATGACATTAGCCTGAAAGTGTGGAGTGCAAAATATGATTTGAATAAAAAGATAGGGTGGTATCTAATATTTCCTTTAGGGAGTACTATACTCTGAGCTGTCAGAACCGATTGTGTAGCTGGAGGAGACTGAGGGATGTGATCCTAATCATATTGATGAAACATTCATCTGAGAGACCGAGCGCAACCAGAAGGGACTCACTAGGAATACAATTAAATCCTAATCTGGGGAGGAGGAATCCTGTGCAGGCTTTTCTCTAACCTGCCACCCTCTCCCCCTTCTTCATTTCAGAGTCAGATAAAATGCAGGAGAGGAAGGGGGAAATACAGGAGAGATGATGGAATGCTGTGTGGACTGCATAAACACAGGGAGTGCTGGGAGGAAAGGGGGTAATTCTGCAGTTCTGATCCTGGTGAGTAAAAATAAAGGCCTAACTTTAGTCACAGGGGAAGCTATCTGCCTGCAGAGAGCTTCCACCTGTGAGTGATGTTAATCAGGTGCAGGAACTCTCTGTTTCAGGAGGGACAGTGCTTCTCCTGCCCAGGCTTTCACTGTTAGCTCAGTACCAGACTGCAGAGCAAAATTGATTTTTCTGTCTGCTGTGTGCAGTTCAGTTTCCATCTGCAGCAGGGAACTGTTTTCTTGCTGGTGTTTATTAGCAGAGCGGTTAATTTCCAACCTGTTTTGACCAGTGCCCCTCAAAAGATGGTCTGAGAAGATGGATGGGACAGGGCTTCAGATGATGTGGTTCCTGTAACAGCACTAAACCCTGGCTGACTGCTCTTCATCCCTCTTGCTTTTTTGGGTAAGCATTGAGCACGTGGGTTTCCCTAGCACGTGCCACTTTTTGGTTCACACCGCTAAAATGAATTAAAGTAATGAATATCTAAATTCATAAAATGATGATGATTGCAGCTTGAAAAGGAGCCTGTATTCTTCATCTGCTCACTGTCAGACTTCTTTGATTGTCTGAGACCCAAATCTGATCAGGTGTTTTTAGAACTTTTTCCAAAGTCACTTGTCTTTTATCATCAAGCTTAGGCAAAAAGCAAAGTGATTTCCTTCTTCCTGGAGTGTTCTACAGAGAAAGAAAGACCCC